GTCCACAGAGCCAGTCATTTCATCACAGAAGGCGAGCACGCTGATTTTGAAATGGTACGATCTAAGGAAGTACATCCTGCATCTAACTCAGCCCTTAACATTGAGGGAACAATACAGTACATAAAATTATCACACAGAACTGCAGCAAAGACATTTTTACATGAAACTGCTATATGCTCATAAACGTATGGCTTATTAAACTGAAACAGACTTATGCCAAGAGCAGAGATGGACCACATCAGATACAACCTTCTTGTTAGGCTTAGTTCTAAAATCTGGGGAAAAAAATCTAAGTGATAGACATCTTTAGTTATATAGGTAGTGTATCAGAAATTTTTGCATATTTGGCTTTTACAACCTGGCTCTTGGTAAAGTATGGAGGGTGAATGCGGCGTGGGAGAGAAGAGCCCAAAGGCCATGAGAGATGGCAGCCTTTATATTACCCTGTGAGAAAACAAGGATCGTCACCCTTAAGTGCATCGCTGAACCCATCCTCAGGCCGGGCTCATAGAGAGGTGAACTAGATATTAAAAGAGTGATGATGACATGGATATCTGAAAATACACCCCCCTACAGCAAGTTGAGATTAGAACTCAAGAGTTTTCTCAAGGAGAAAATTAGGCCTATGGTTCCTATGCATATCTTTGCGCATAGGATCAGACTACGTTAAGAGCACACAGCAGGCCTTCTCACCATGGTCGAGATACACCTTGGACACAGTTGGGCCCCTCTACGTTATTTAAATAAGGAGAAAGGAGCAGGCTACGGCTCTGCATCTGTCTGTCTCTTGCTCCAAAGGGGAGCAAAGGCAAGCAGGGTCAGCTCCAGCTAGTCTATTCTATTCTGCCACTCCGCAAAGGCACTTCCAACACAGTCTGTAACTGCCAAGAAAGCATGTTATCCTCCTTGAGTATACTTAGCTTTCCCTCAGCACAGGTAGTGGTCTCAGTGGAAAAGTAACAGAAGACTAAAGGATAAGTAAACTAGAAGCGACAGAATGGGACTAGAATGTCATCAGAAAGAAAGGGCACACTTTTACACACACTCTTACAGTCAATCCATAAGAAAATGAGGCGTATGATTCTAGCAGATATCAGAGAACCTCATCTCAGCCCACTTCTAGGCTTAAGGATCCAGTTAACGTATGATAATCTAATGTATGATAATACTGTGAATGACAGTGAAACAGACGCTCACCCAAACTAAAAGGAGGGGAGTAGTCTTAAAGTTCTAAAAGGAGGAATTAGGACTCCTCAAGCCTGTCCTTGAGCACACTCTCAAACCAGCATTCAGGTTAAGTTAGGAGTTAATAAAAGAGATGCAATGGAGGGTGATAAAGTTCCACTGGAAAGAAATGGCCAAAGTACCTTTAGGATAGGAAACATGGGGTCACCCCATGAGAAAATAAGCAAATCTGTATTTCAATAAACCCCAGAATAGAATGACGGCCACACTGAACATTTAGCAAACTACAAATAACGGAGTGACAGTGCCACTGATATGAGAAGGCACACTCTGGAACAAACTGAACATGGTACTGCCTAGCTTTCTTAGGGAGAAAACGCGATTCCCGAGTCTTCAGTGTGCTCCTGTCATCTAAGGCGAGGGTTAGAGGAAGGGACAGCGTTTAATGAAGACAAGTTAAAAACAGAGAGTAAGCGTGACACTGAAGAGCCCAATGGCAGTTAAGGGCACCAACCGTTAGACAACTCTGCAAGAAGATAAGGAATGTAACAGCACAGTGTGACACTGAACGTTGTCTCGGGATGGGGTTGGGCTAGGTAACCAGATGCTACGGAGCATTAATGAGACTGATGTAGGAATACGTTCCTCGCAGTAAGATGAGGAAAGAATCCAACAGATTTCTCAGTGGAGGAGAATGAATGAATGAATAAATAAATAAATAAACGAGGCCCAGCCTAAGGTTTGAATTAAGGAATAGCTTAGGGTTTGGCAGAGAAGGATTTACTGAGCAACACTCTTTAAAGTAAGCTCAGGACTTATTCTTTTCCATTTTGGGGGGGATAACGGTATGATAAACTCTAACTCAAATCAAAAGTGAAGAAATATCCAGTTAAAATAAAAAACTTAGAGGCACAGATGAAGCTTTGACTCCTCAAACTGCGTCAAGGAATTCATATGTGTTTTTTGTTTCTAAAAACCTGGGAATCTGTACTGATGTGAGAGTAATGAGAAAGTAAAGCTCTCTGACAGAAATTCATTGAGCAAGATACATTTACTGAAACCATATTCCAGTTGCAAAGAGATGCAGGTTTCTGCAAAACACCACAAAGAGCAGTCACTACCTTGTGCAGTAAGGATTTTTTTGTTTGTAACTTTAGATGTTCTAGATCCTAATTTTATTTTATATGAACTTTTCTTGGGGTTTAAAGCGAATTAAGAAAAGGTTTGTTTTCAGATTGTGTTATAAAATAAAGAGACATTACAATTTTAAGAAAGGTGTATACTTACGCTGGTAGTTGCACATAAAGCAAGCCTGTGCTGCAATCATCCACTCAGCTCTAGTCTCGCAGAAGATAGCAATGTTAGTCTTTGGCTGCTGACCCAATACTGCTAAGCCGTTTCCAAAATTAACAGCTTTAATGTATACATCATCATATGAAAGCCAGGTGTATTTGCCAAGGATGACCTAACAAGGATAATAAATTTAAATTAGAAAACAGAAAGCCTTAACGCATGTCATACTACATCTTTAACCATGTGAAAGAAATAGAGAAGTTTGAAATAGAGAAGTTTGAAATAAAAGTCGCCTCAGTTATAACAGTTTATTCAAACAAATGAATAATATTCCTGTCAAAAATTATAGGGAGTACCGAAGTTCCAATACACAAACACTGCAACATTTCCATGCACTTCCTCCTCATTTTCTCTTTTCACATTAGGGAAGCACAGGATTCCCAACATATTTTGTGACTTCAGAAGCCCCCTGGAAGGCTATGACATCCAGCCAACATGCCTTCAGTTTTTACAAAGGTTTGTTTTATTTTGAACGAAGGATGAAAAGAGCTAGCTAGTACAAAACATTCTCTGTATCTGCTTTCTTGGATATTTGAACTAAAATTCTGGTACACGAGCATGATACTTAGACACTCATTCTTACGAAAATACTGAGGAAACTGGAATCCAGAAAGCATTGTATGAATGGCTTCTCAGTCAAAAATTGTGAAATCCCCTTTCCTTTGTTCGTTCTGAAATAGACGTCAGGAGGAGGAAGAGTAATCTTTTTGCCATTTCTTTACTGTTCAACAAAAGCAAGGCAGAAGACCTGACTGGAATTTACCGACAAACCTCAGTACTGAAAAGTCATGTGGAAAAAGTTCAGCTATCTCACTTTTCTTCCACGTGGGGAAGCCGAGCACTATAAACGTAGATTTGAATTCACTGTTCACTATCTACCTTATCACAGATTTCCATGCATACGCTCATACCTTACGGTACCATTTTTTTCATTGGCTGATAAGCTATTTCTTTCAGGAATACCTTAGAAATTTTCATATGCAGATGGAGTTATCAGAAAGAGCTTTTACACTGAAAACTCAGACGCTAAACTATTGTACTTTACCTGTCTAGTTATACAAGCACCTCGGCAATTTTGAAAAACCACCAGCTTTATTGGTCAAGTATTTCAGAGCTTTCCTCTGTCTACACAGCATTATTAATCAATGCAAGCAAACACTAAGGAAAAAAAACTAGAAAAAACAGTAAGAGCAAAGTTCTCTCTCTTCCTCTCATTCTGTTTTCCAGATATCATTTACATAGTTTAACTGAATTTCAAGTATGTGGGCTGTAAAAACCAACTTTTTGGCAAGTAACTAGGTTTCTAATATGCATTTCTGCATCAACTTTGTTAATGAGATGGATTTGAAAAATCTCTCTCACGTTCTAATAGAGCAGAAAAACAAATTCTAATAGATTTCTGCTATCAAAACACTTTCACACCGCAGACGTTTATAACTGAGTAACTGAGTTGTACCCACTTCAACCTTCCTGAATATTACTAATTAATCTACATTTTTAGCAGGACAATCCTTTCTTACCCCAAGGCAGGTATACATAAAGCTGTTTGATATTTTCCAACAAAAAAGTTGTGTGAAGTTTCCAGTTATTTAAAACTGAAAAGAAATACATGCCAATGTAGGAATATCTAGCAATTTCACCAGAAAAAACATTTCTCAGATTAATATCTGCTCAACTTTTCCTGTCTTATCATTTACACAAACTTAGCTTTATCGGCAGATGGGCTGTTTCAGAATCAAAAAGTCGAAAAAACCTTGACAGAGAAGGCAAGATCAAAGTCAATTTCTCTACTGTAATTCGTCAGAGAACTACAGCAATGGTACTGACTGGCAGCAGCGCTGTGCGGCACAACACCTGGGCACTGGCCGCTGGCCGCCTTACCTCCTGAGCTCACAGGCAAACCCTACGGAGAAGAACCTGGAAGTTCATTTTGTTTTGGAAACATCAAGATATTTCTACTGTGGCAATATTTTATTATTTCCAAAACAAGTATTACACATTTTCCTATCCACTAAAAGTTCAGCAATTTGAGGTTTTAATTCCAATTTGAGGCACTTTCTGCCAAACTCAAGTGTTTTTCATAGACTCAGAAATTCTTGACAAGCTCATCAGCTGAAAGCAATTTGTAGTACTGAATGAGGCAACATCCTTTCCACCATCATACTCATCTTACAGAATGGCTTCAGAGAATACTGCTCTCAAATAACTAAGCCAAGAAAAGCAAGCAGAGTCTCTCTATTGTTTTCGGTAAATTTGCCAATCAGTAAATTACCTGTCTTTGGCAATTTCCTTAATTCACCCAGTAACTTGCTAAAGTGGAAATAATAAATCATTAAATGGTCGAAAACAGACCTTTCTAAATAACACCTGTGATTCTGACTTCTTCCCTTAATTTTTTTCTTAAATAATTTATCCTGATTGTTTAAACCTATTTTATACAAAGTAGTGAAGGAAGGTCCTATTGGTGGTTTCCTTTCTTATAATGTTAGAAAGGATATGAAAAGACCATTTTCAATGAGGCTATTTTGAATTTTAACTTTCCTACTGCTCTACACAAATTTAAATTCTCATGCCCCTTTCTTCCCCATGCTTAATGTCTCTGTTCCCTCTCTATGACATATTAATATACTGCCTCTGTTCACATGCCCTTTCCTTCTGCGTTTCCCAATAGGCTTCTTTTACAGGATAGGCAGATTGGTCTCTTTCATCCTTCCTTCTGTTTGAACATCTGTCTCCAAATCTATTTCCCTTTTTGGCCCTTCTCTCAGCACCTTTTCACAAATGTTTTCTTATGTACATTTTTCTACTATAAACAGTCATTAAGACTGATGTTAAGTGTCACAATCTCTTAATCATTCATACACATGCTTAATTTTACAACTTGGAGAACTTCCTTCTTCTAGATAACTACTCATTCATGTAAAGTCAGGTGATTGTCCAAGAGTTTGCAAGAGAAGGGCCTAAGAAGTCAAGATTATTGAGAATTAAAGAGAGGCATAAAATCAAACACCGAAGGAGGAAAGACAGCATCTATAAATGCGTTCTTAAAAAAATTAATAAAAATATATTAAAAGATAAATACTGCCCCCTAGTGTATCATTTTAACTTAAACTGCAATTTATTAAAAACACTTGAATTAGGTACTTTAATGCTCATGACACCCTTCCAAATAGCAGACTTAAAAGGATTGCTTTCCCCTACCAAAAATAGGTTTACTTTTCCCCATTATATTTTTCTATGTTTCCACTAATTCTGTTTTGGGTTATAAACCCTTTAAAACATTTAAAAAGGGCAAAAAAAACTTCAACAACAACAAAAAAAAGTCACAAACAAAGCAAAATCCACATACCAACCAAGCACATGAAAATATAATCCACAGGTGAGACCACACAAAATAATCAACCAGTAGAACCAAGTTCATCTTTTGGGCAAAGCGGAACAAATAAAAGATTATTTCATTTTTCATACAAATTTTCATTAAAAAAAGCTCTGTACTTTTTCCAATTAAATCTTAAGCTGTGAAATACTTTCAACATTTTTTTATCCTGACTGAAAAACATATTTTATGAAATTAATAGTTAGTACGCTTTCTAAATCCATCTACTAAAGGACAGTACTGACAGAAACAGGAAAAACTATATACGAAATACTATAAAATGCCACAAAGTAAGCAAAAATAGATATTTATCTTTATTAATGTCTATTATTTCTGTTACTTTGGTAAATTCTATTTGGCAACTACAAAGGAACAAATCTTTCAAACAGTATAATAGCACTAAAAAAAAATATCAAGAAATTAGATTTTCTGGCATATCAGCGCTCTTCAACTGAGAGCAAATAAGTAGTGTCTGATCTTAAAGGTGTTAAAACATCTTTCTTTAAACAAATTTAGCTAGAATTGTGACCACCCTTAGTTCTCCCAAGGATCACCGGTTCAATATTTTACTTCTTGGGGATATGAACTTAACCTATATATTAACAGATCATTAATCAGGCTAATCTAGCCCATTGCTCTTTGCACAACAGACCCTTTCTGGTTGGTAATGCAATTCAGTACACTGACCCATGATCTAAACTCAGATCTGCCACTGACTTGCAGATGACCTCAAAAATACCTCAGTGTATGTTCAATTTCTGAAATGGAAAAAATAACTAACAAGTTTTTGCAACCCCTTTACGGTATACAAATTATATGTAAGAATTAGGAACTGTTGTGTACCTTTTCAAAAAGTTGCAAATAAACTTTGACAAGCTGCCTTTACTAAAGGGAGACAGGCAATGCAAAGAGGCACTGCAGGAAATACAAAAATCAAAAGAAACCTAACACTTTCAATCAACAAGGTATCTTGTAAAACCTTCAGTTTTACTCACTTGCTGAAACATCTTAAGAGGTATTAATACAACACTGTATTCCTGAATGGAAAAAAAGAAAAAAGTTTCAAGAGTAAACTTAGGCAACAATGCCACCACCTGGAACGAAATAATACAACAGCAATTACGGCAATCAACCACAACGAACTGTTTTGTCAGGCACAGTCAACACTACCTAAGGGACGGCTCTGAAACAGGTGATTCAAGCAGATCAACACCAACATTCTTCAGCTTCCCAACATTCAAAATACTCTACTTGCATAATGCAAACGGCTAAAACTCCTAAGCGCTTAAGCTTTACACTACTAATTAGGCTTGAAAAACAGAACAAAGGTTACTGGCAGCCAAAATACTAATACACCTCATACACCTAGTTTGTATTCAGCATCAACTTGTTTCTGTTTCTTTTCAGGTCAAGAGGCAGCAAAAGGTGCATCCCGAAAGTCTGCGCGCGCCCACTTCCCTCCGAGGCAGGCATTTCTGAACAGCACTTCCTTCTCACTGAGCAACCATCCCCACAGCCAGAACGAACTTCAACTAACAACTAAAGCTCCTGTAAAGATTTTAACGGAGCTAATCTTTGCCATATGAAACATGTATTGTGATGTTAACCAAATTCTACTTTAAGCATTATACTCAAATACCGAAAATAAAATTAGCATTATTTAAGGAATTCCTTATTATATGAAGAGATGAACATTCCTCTTGCAGGGAAACTAATCTTATCCAAAATTGATCTTTATAACACGAAGGTAGTAGTAACCTCTTCAAATGCAGATGGGCAGAACTTTAACACATAGCTTGCACGTATGTGTATATTCTCTTAACGAAATCTGACTTGCTCCCTCAGGCAAAACTAAATTTTTAAGCACCTCAGAACAGGTACAAATCAGCAACCAACACCACAGGCCTGAACTTAAAAAGACCTAATCCCTCAACAACACAAGAAGTTCTTCTGTTGAAATTACATCTGCCCCCTTATGATTACAGTTTTATCAGCGATGTAGTTTGCCTTAAAGGAGACTAGGGGGGAAAAAAAAAAATTCCCTAATGAAAGCCTTCGCAATCCTTTTTCAAGCAAAAACTCTACCTCGGTCCCAAATACATAGGGAGAAACCGTAAATCGTTAATTTACTAGGTATCTACTAGATAATTTACTACAGGGATCTACCAATTTTTCTATACACATATGTGACTACAGTACAGAAAAAACACCATGAGGGGAATATTTTATTCATCTAAAATGGAAACTAAAACTTTATACCTGCTTGCATCATCTGCTAAATATTAAAAAAAGTATAACACATTTCTTTTTCCCCTCTTTGGTTGTAGACGTAACAAAGGATATCTACTCAAGAATGCAAAAAGAAGGTTAAGATTTGTTGGAAATGCTGATTAATGAAAGAGTGGGAATTAGATTATTTAACCCTTTGCATGACTACTTAATCTAAGCAGAGAAAGTTATTCTTCCCCCAATTTCTTTCACTGAACTGTAACTGTTGTACAAGAAAACAGTAAATACTCGTTAAAAAAAACCTCAAAGGCAGACTGCAAATACACTCACCTTTTTAAAAACTTTTCCTGATGGCTGGATTTCATCTTCCTCTTTTAAGATTTCACGTGTTCCCAAGAGTTTTTTGTCCTTAAATTTAGTTTTAGCATGTTTAAAAACTTTGTCGAGTGTATCACATCCAGGATATAAAACTGAAGCTAAGCAGTGTTGACTGTTAACAGATCTGTATGCACCCCCAGGCTTGTTATTCACAGGTTTAGCTTTAACCTGCTTGGATTTTGCTATAGCCTCCCTTGATCCCGACAATATGTACCATGGAATGTAGGTTATAAAAGAGTACACAAAGATTATAAAGTTTATGAAGTGTAGAAGAACAGGGTTGATGTTATGCTTCAACTTCATTTTGGCTGCTTGTGAAGCTTACAGGGGAGAAAACATGGATCAATTAGATGGAGATCCAAAAAGATCTGGAAAAAGAAAAGAAAAAGTTAGCAATCAACTTCATAGCTGTTGTATTGGGGAGGGGGGGTATTTTCAAACAGCGTTACAATCATATCAGAAATAGTCTCTCTGTGCATCAGAGAAATCAGGGTAGAAATCCTTATTCCTAACACAAACATCACAAGTCACTGGTACATGAGGAAAAATTCTTCCATTCCTCTTTAAAAGACAGCAGTACTTACTAATACTTTTGTTTTTCTTGATTCTATACAACACAAACACAGAGTTATTACGGAATTCCGGACTTGTGATTGTTATGTATAATTGAAAACTCGTAATATTTTCATATAAATACATGCCAACCACAAATTCAAAAGATGGTCTCCAATCACAATATAATACCTGAATGAATACCTTAACTAGCAACCTTCAGGTCCTTCAACTGTAAATGATCAAACTTCATACAAGCCCTAAGAAAAGAAGTAATGCCACCTCTCTGTACCTAATCACTAAACTTGACCATACGCTTTATGAACATTATATGGACTGGAACATCTATATAAGAAAAGTGAACTGTAACCTTCCTCCTTGAAGCCCCTATATGTGAGAGAACTTTGCTGGTTCCTCTATACCTAAGGACATTCCATCAGCCACAAGGTTGCATCCATAGTACACCTGCATGCAAGGTGTGCACTTGTCATATAAATGAGCATGAAAATAAGCTAAATAATATTTGGGAAAATCTGGGAAATGACTAAAAAATTAAAAAAAAAATCTTAGCAACGGTACTATAAAGAGACTGTACAACTTATTCTAGGCTCCTTAATGATGTCAGGATATTCACTTTGACCTTTTTTTCCTTTAATATTATCATATCCATATAAGATAATGCAACTTGCTAATATCTTCTAGGGTGGAGACAAGAAGTTTGGCTTAATCCACAAAATAATTAAAATCTTTATGTATATCAGGGACTTGTCGTAATAGCTAAAGACGAATGTCTGCAACAGTGAATGAGCTATCAACTATAAAAACTGCTGTTTACATATAAAAGTGAACAGTCTCACAATAAGTACACTCCACTCAGCTGTCTGAAAGTATTTATATGACTATATTAAAAGTAGTAAATTAGATCAAACAACTAAATCTATTTATAGATAAGACAAATAAATTTGGTAATTCTTTGTAAATGAGGAAGCTTTATACATAAAATATGGTGTTGATGCCATATAGTATTTAATGCATTTTGCATCATTCTTTGTTATATTTTATAACATTGTTATTCTTTGAAAACCTAATGAAAAGAATTACTTAAATGTTTATATCACTTAAAATTCTTTACTAGTAACGGAAAGAAACCTTATTGCATGAATTTAAGAATTCTAGATCCTTTTGAGAACAAATCAATACTCTTCATTTGTAGGAGCAGATTAATTCCATCTTTCGCTAAACCACTGAATTTCTTGAAACTCCAGGAGAAGTATCTCAGCATCAACCCCTTCCCTGATAAGCTCTTGTAACCAAAGGAACCTCTGTAACACTCCATCATATGGGCAATATAGCAGGACTTGAAGGAACCAACTGACATCAAGGCCTGTTCTGCAAAGCACCCAGAGACATATTTAAATAAAGCCTGTGAGCTCTTCAAGATAGGGAATTACTGGATTAGGCAGCACAGGGGAAAAAGACATAAAAAGAAAAATGGAATTGTGTATATTTTAATTTTCAGATCAAAGGCAAAGAAGTGATGACAAAAAAAAAAAGCTTAAAGAGGCTAAAGAGCAAATTCATAATCAGTTGTAGAGACTTAGATTCTTAGGCTGCTACTGAAGGATACTAAATGAAAATAATCATGTACCAGCCAATAAACGACTACAATCCAGAAAGACTGTGGTGGTGTTTGTGTTCTGTGCCTCTATCAGAATGTTTTAAAGCTGAATTCAGAGTTCACATGACAAAAATTCACCCATTTTTCAGAAAGTTAAAAACTGGATAGTAATTTCATATTGTCTAACTTGGGGGGGGAGGACACGACACCCCAGATTTTGTTCTTCATGTAAAGCTAGGTAACTTCGGTAAATTGTTTTCCTACCTTGGAGACACAAATATTGTGACAAGTTAAAATGAAAGTAAGTGATTTAATATTTTCTTGAAATCCTTCTCTAAAGAAATTCCTTGTCTGATAAACATACACAACCACTAGGTATTTTACAACTGAAACTTTGCAAAAATACCCACTTTGAGTTTCATACTTGTGGTAGAAAGGTGTTGAGACCTTCTAAAATAGCAGTTTTCCATTTGATTTTGCAGATACTCCAGCAGCCTTATTCCCATCTCATCAGGCTAGAAGAAAGGAACCTTTTCTACTATTTCTAAAATAAATGCACCAAGGTCTCTCAAGAGCTCTTTTCTGAATCACCTGAAGCCTTACACAAAATCTCAAATCTGGAAATGTTTTCTTTGATTTGCAAACCATAAATTGTATTATGCCTATGATTTCATAAAGGCTGCCTCCCAACAGACGGTTTACGGATAGGCGAAGGGGAAATATTTTTTCTATCTCCCTGGTTCAGAAAAATCACAGAATCACAGAATGGTTGAGGTTGGAAGGGACCTCTGGAGATAATCTACCCCAATCTCCCTGCTCAAACAGGATTACCTAGAGCATATTATAAATTATTATAAATATTATAAATTGAGTATCAGGCCTGGAAATAAGCTCTTGACCTCTAATTCTGATATGCATTCATCACCTTGAGGATATTGCCAATTATGTCAGTTTCTCCTTCAGTGAAGTGAGGCTACTACAAGTATTTGTTTCAAACGGATTTTTTTTAACAAATTAATATTTATTTAAAAAATTTTTTTCCACTTAAAATGTTAAAGAGAAAAAAAAGAATAGCTTTTGCAAATGCAGTTTCTTGTCATAAAGGCCAAATAAGACTACATTTTTCTTTAAAATTTTGTAATCAGGAGATAATACAAACTTCAACAAAAGAGACTGTTCCCGTGCTTTCGTTACTAGGATGATACCACTGCAATTAAAAGTGAAAAAAAAAATGCCATTTTTGAAAAAGCAAGGGAAATATATTCTAGTGTTCTCATTAGAATGGACAAGTTCCAGTAGGTTGGTGGTTCTAAAGACAGCTGAGCCATAACACAAAGGAAATTTATTGGTGGCAAGGTAAAGCTTCTGTCTCTTTCCTATGTATGTGAGGAACACAAGATGTATTTTTTCCTCATCTCCTCATTTATTTGCTTGCTGTGTTGCTGCAGAGAAAGATGCCAGGTGAACAAAGGAGATGCATTGTTTCTGTCTGGTTAAAGTGTAGCGATGCCTTTATCAAACAGATTTATCATTGCCGCTCCCAGCAGAAGAAGGTTAAGTCAGCTAAATGATCACTGAACTTCCAAAAGAAACCTCAGAGAAGCTATCAGATGAAAAAGTGGAAGGAAAGAAGGAAGCTGACTAATCCTGCTACTTCCATCTTGTGAAAAACTCATGCTTCTTCAATAGCGTTCCTTCAGATATTTGCATTCACAATGAAGCACACATGTATTTATGGTTTCCCAGAGATGAAATACTGAATCATTATCTCAAATCCAAGAACGAGTGGCTCTTATTACTGAGCCACCTACCTACTTTTTAAGCTAAGAGAAAATAGGAGTGTTTCACCACACACCTAGAAAACTTCCACGCAAACAAGACACGATTCAAAACTTAACGGCCTAACCGTTCATCTAAACAGGAACAGGAGATAGCAAGCCTGAATGTTGTCAGTGCACACACAGCTCTGTTTTAATCTGATATCGGGACACTTTTTACAGAGAAAACTTATTTTCCACAAGTGGAATACAGATTCAACTTCTGATGACAACGCAGAAGGAAAATTCAACCTGAAATCAATAGCTTTCTTCTACTGCAAACTGAACCAGGGCAGCTGAACACGATGGTATCTATGCTTCTCTATAACAGTTCTTATTTTTAAACCCTTTAATGTAAGATACCTACAAACTCAAAGTGAAAAGATAATTAATATTCAATTAGCAGAGCTACTCAAAACATGAAAAAGTTTCAGAGAAAATTTCAAAGTTCTCAAAGTCATTTCAATTTTGAGAGGCTTGAAAAGGACACACTGTGTGCTGTTTAATATATTTCACTTCAAAAAGTATCAGACTGAAGAGTTAAAATATTTTACTTAAGCTTACACGTCATTGAAATTACAACGCCTGGTCACCTTATTAATTTTTGAAGCGGATGACCACTTCTGATCATAAAATAGAGGGTAAGTAAACCCAACGTTTGGGGTCAGGGAATAGAAGGTGGAGCGGAACGAAATCCTACATAGTTTTATCAAGTATGGGTTAACTATGACATGGAGAAATTCCACTGCCTTCACGAGTGATGTTTTGGTTTTCAGCTATCCCCTATCTAATCGCTAACAAATAAAAATATACATGACATGAAAATACCTTCAGCCAAGTGGCTCAGTCTGCATCAGATTAGCTGTAAATGTTCAGGTTTTTAAATAATGTGCATCCATTTGGGTTTCACATAGTAGTGCTGGGGTTTTTGAGGAATCAGAGTTCAAACTGCACATTTAACTAACTCCTGGATGAAAGAGCTGCCAATTCACGCAGGAACACCCCTCACAGAAAAAAATTTTGAAGTGGATGTTTCTCCACATGCATAATATCTGTTCAATTTATATGTAATTCTATTTCATGAAGCAGTCAGACAGGAAACAGCAAGAGAACAGTAAAAAGTTATGCTGCTTTCTCATAGCAAGGACAAAAGGCAACCAGCACACTCATTCAAGAGCTTGGCGGAAGTAAACCGGCAGTTTTCAGGACTAATCCTGCTTAGGACATAATCAGTGATTCGGCCTTGTATACTTCTTATACTAATTCTGTTCTACCCTTCAGTTTTAGGAGCAAACTTTTGTTAAATGAGAAAGGAAAAAATCCTTAGAGGAATGTGTTTACTAATTGACCTGCTTATAACAACTACTTTACAATAAAAGTATGAATTAACAAGAAAAAGAAACCTTATGCAACTTCTCATTGTGGCAGGTACAGGTACAACAGCTGATAAAAGTTCTCCTCTCCGTTTACTCAACAGGAGCTGTCACAGGCAACTGTGCTGAAATCTAAAAAGGGAAAATCCCAATTAAATACAGTAACTATAAAATATATATCCTCTGTACTTTCACTTGTCCATTATAATAAATAAAGGCAACATTTTTCTCCACATGACTGCATACACATCACATAACAGCAACTGAATAATCAGACTTTTCCCCTCCAAGAAAGATATAAGTACATGCATTCAACAACGGTAACAACAAAATACATAAACTCCCTTATCTAACTCAACATAGTAACAGCCTATTGCATTAAGAGACAGGATAAAAACTGAGATGCATTACAGGTTACGGCTTCACCAACTGGAATACTAGTGCTCAGATAACGTAAAAAAACAAATATGGGCACAGTTGGAGGGGACAGGAAGACAGATGCATGTCATTTGCTCCCTTTCATGGGACCAATCTGGCTTTTACATGCCAGTACTAACTTAGAGTTAACACACCTTCCCATAAATATATGTTCATGAGAGTTGTAGGTTAAGTAACTAACATCAAGTTAACTTGTAGGTTAAGTAATTAACATCAAGTTAACTTGTGAGTACCAGGGATGATCAACTTCACCTCCAGCAAAGTCTAACAGGCAAAAGAAATTCAACATCTAAACTAGCCCTGGAAATAGTATTACATTTATGTGGTGCTGCACATGAGCTACTTAAGTTTAACTGAACCAAAACTGGCTCTCCATATAGCCTACTTGGAACTATCTTTAAAGGAGGAACATTTAATGTACAACACTATCAGACTGTCTCCCTAGATAATCAAGGGCTGATTGAGTTGAAGTGAATTTAAGGAGGAACACGGGAAGTTTACAGTACACTTTTTAAGAGAGATTTAAAGAATCAGGCAAATAGCACTAAAAAGGCTTTGGAACACTTAAGTTAAAGATATATATGGCAGAGAAAATCCCAGTAAGTTCCGTAGCTGCATTCAATCATATAGAGCAAGTTGATTTTTATCGACAGCTGCCCATACAGACGTGATCTCCATCACATGTTCAAAAGGCTCAAAACTACAAATATTTTTTTGTGGAGAAAATTTCACTTTTAGATATTTAATTCTGCTAGAGACTGCTTTTACTTCTATTGCACTTAACTCACACATTTGCATTTCTGTGATCTTCCCAAGTCAGTTCTAGACTTTCCAAGTCCACTGGGGAGCTGCAAAACTGAATGTGCTCACAAACTACCCTGTCATTTATTACCTCTTCAACAGAAGCAAGATGACAAGCCCATTTGTTCACATTTATTTCCATACAACATTTTCAGGGAAAAAAGAAAAAGCTATTTCAAAACAGGGGGGAAAAAAAGCACATAAACATATCTTCAGCTCATCAGACTGAACTCATCAATAGACCATTAAGTTAATTAATCCTTCAAATGACACTGTACATCCTGCAATATTCCATGTACAGAAAGAATTACAGTAGTGCAGTAGATAGAAATGTTTTTTTAAAAAGAAAACTCTTCAGGAGCGATCTGAAGTCAGTGTAGACCAACTGATTATTTAATCCCCAAACAACAGGGTCAGATCATAGCGTGCAGAAAAACAGCATGCCATATGAAGAAAACAAGAGAAGGTGCTGGTGCTAGTGAAGATAAAAAACTAGTTTCCAAATTAATTACTACCAGTAATGATGCATAAAACCGAGCAACACTGTCAATCCACAAAAGAGAGTCAAAGAGCCCCAAGGAATGGCAGGAATCAACACTTTGATTGCTAAAGAGTGGATCTCCCTGACCCCGAAGTGCCGGCAGCCCAAAGCCAGGGCACACTTACAGCTACCCAGGTCATCCCATGACGCCGCTTGCCATGGCTAGGCGGTGCAATCCCCGCCGCTGGGACCCTGAGATCCCCAGCACGGCTCGCAGGGCGCACCCTGCTCTGCGCACCACTGTCGTGGCAACAGGAAACCCCTCTGTGAGGCGGCTCCTTCCACGCGATGCAGGGGTGCCCCTCTGGCCAGCCCCGGGCCCCCCCACAAGCTCTCGCCTCCGGGGCTGCGGGCTTGTGAGCGGCCTGCTCCCTCCCGGTCACCTTTGCCGAGGACGGCACCTGGCCTTGCGTTCACAACCAGAGCACAGGAGACCTTTCCAGAGCCCGCTAGGTGACACAGGGACCTCTCTGAAACAGCCGCACCAGACTGACCTCGAGCCCTGGTTTAAAATGAACTTCCTCTCTTATGTCAAGTTTGGGGCAGATCTGCAACTCTGTTCAAAAGGATTTCTGCTTGCTAATTAAAAAAAAAAACAAAAAGAACACAGATAACCTTAGCACTCAGTGCCCCCATCCTTAAAACCGGAGTTAAAAAACCTACCACAGCAAGTTCCAGTCAGCAGTACGTTCTTGAACATCTCTATTGACTATAGGTGGCTTATTACGGTTATTAAAAAGCCTTTGCTAAAGAAAGTCAAATTGATAAAAGGAGGACTGTGTGGCTATAACAGTCTTTCTTACTAGTCTGGAGGTTTTCAAACTTTTCCAAGTAGGCAGACCAAGAATGAAATTAATTCCCACTTCATTTCTGGTCCTTGATTTCCCATTCTAAACGCTGAATGGGAGATTTTCTGACTCTCCTTGGACTTTGCCCTCCTCGCCTCCATGTGTTGTAAACTTCTACTAGTTTGCACAGAAAAAGACATAGTAAGAGATAAGAATTACTACTGATTGCAGCTTTCTCTCAAAAAGCCACAGATTTTCCGCTAGTTGGGGAGGAAGCATGGAGAACCTATGACTACTCTTTGTAAGCACATCTAGGCTAATTTTAAACTACCTTGCTCAGATCCCCCTAGAGATTCCAGTTCTACTACATACCCCACACACAACTCTTAAAGAATCCGAGAAATTCATCTAATGCTTCTGTTCCGCTCTGCTCAGTATCACAAACACGAGCAGACAGATTCCCTAAGCCGTCTAAGCACTCTGACTCCTCTGTACACAATCAATTCCCTTTGGAAGATTTGAACATAAGCAATTCCACAACTAAACTCCATTTCTGATGGTGATTCAGGCACTTTTGTGCATAAATGCATTTCTGGAAAGTGCACATCACGGCACAAACTGACAACAAGCAAAGATATGTCATCTGTAACCTGAAACAAGCCCGTTTCCAAGAGGAGTACTAACAGGCTGTTGGTGCAGCCCTGCTTGTTGACGAAGTGCTCAGCCTGAGGGTGCTGTTTCAAGTTGGCTCAGGCAGGTTTAACACTGCGCTGCCATTAAAAAAGATTGCTCATCTCCGAAACCTAATCCAGCACTTTCCCTCTGCTACACTGACACATTCGTGTTTATATGGCTAGGAATGAGTCAGATTAGCTTGCTGATCAAGTTTAAACCTTCTCCTTCTTTGGGAAGGAGGGTTAATTTTTCTTTGTATCAGCTTTGGTGCTCACTTGAGACTTACTTACATTTCAGAAACCTAAACCAACAGAAAATTAACACTACAAAAGAAGAATTTTTCCACTATCCTAAATTGAGTAACTATGAGTAGATAAACTGTAACCCCACCACAGGAGAGGGAACATACAGCTGGGAAAGGGGAAAAAGCAGGCTGGCAGTCATGCTGTAAATCAGATCTTGGTTCAGCTCTTAACTGCAGAAGAAGCAAGATCAGCACAGGCCGATACCTGAAATATCCTGTGACTCTCCTCACCAGTGCAGTGGGATGAGAGAAGAGCTGGAAGCCGGAGGACTAACCTCATGTTCTCACTACTAACCAGGAAACACTTCTTTGGATTTCACCATTTGCAGTTGCAAGAGCAAGAGCCTAAATACCTTTGAACTTCAGACCTAGGCTGTACAGATTCCTATTAATACAAAGGGGTTTTAAATGGAATTGAGATGCGAAAATCATCGTTTATAAAATGAGGCTTCTATTTCCTTAGGAGATGGCCAGAAGACATGTTATTAGCATAAATATAGTATGCATTTGTTAGGCACAAAGATACTACAACGGTAGGAGTTATATGAACATGAAAAGTCCTTTATTCTACGGAGAGACTTCCTACGATGTTAACTGAAGCTTTAGAAAACAGTAAGCAATCTTAATATCTAGAAAAATTATAAAAAATATAAGAATTAGCATGTTCTTCTCCTCCTAGTAACGTACACTTTATATCCATCTAAACCCAATGGCATAAACGGGAAGAGAAGGAAGGAGGGAAAAAACTAACAACAACTGACAATAGAGAAAAAAATCTGCTGGCACAAAACTAAATTAGATAGCAACTGAAATTTCCTGAAAGCAAAGAGCTCCCTTCTCTTTTAGGCAGATTCTAGGTATACCGAGTTATTTCTAGAAAAGTGTTAAACCCTCCATTTGCTCACAGCCTCTTCTATATACTTCCATGACTCTCTTCTATGAGATCTCCCTGCGTGTTGCAGGAGAGTGGGAGACTCAGGTATCTAAACCTATCCTCTGCTTCTTATAAAAGCAAGTCAGTAAAACTTTGGAGGATTTGAAGACTAAAATGGCAGTCAAAGTAATCACACAGTAGACAGCTTTACTTTTCCCCCAAACCACAGGAATTTCAGTGCTGAGTCCAACTGTGTGGGCTGCACCCTAAAGTTTAACCACCGTTCCAGATGAAAAATAAAAACAAGTTGTGTACAGTGCTAGTTCAGCAGCAATACTTTAACAGGCACTCCTAAGCTACTATTATCTATGACAGGTAAATACCCTTCCAAGAGACTAAAATCAGCTGAAAAAAAGCAAACCCCATTACAACTCTGCATTTCAGAAATTCTTCTGTTCAAAACAGTTTAAAATTACTTTCCTTAAATAAGTTTAAAAAGTAACTTATTTAAATCAGGCTAAATATTTTATGGATTGACAAATAAATCCTCTACTAGTAAGAATAATAAAACACAGCTTTAAGATAACAATTGTCAGCAGAACCAAAAGCACTTCCCAAGAAGTTAACATCACTGTTACTACTACTGCAGAGAAGGTAACAGAGACAGAAAATCATTTATCCAAAGTCAGTCAACAAAGTAATGGTTAAGCC